TTCAACCCGCTGTGATATGGTCATGTATGTGCATATGTACTGCCTTGGTAGGACGCGACAAGTCTTGATATAGTGTAGAAATTGTATTCTACAAACACCCAGCCAGCACACAATGAATCTAAGCACTCATATTGCGTTTATTTATACTCTATAGAGACATCCTTGGGACAGTCATAAAATAGCACACTAAAATAACACAGTAACCAATCACAGCCAAGAATTTTCCTGGTGGGAAATGTGATCTCATGGTCAACTGATCGATCGGTGGTACATGAAATAAATCCAAAATAAAGATATTTATCAAGCGATTTCTGGGGATCAAACGTCCCCCCGAACAATAGGTATAAATCAAATATTGATTCTTTGTTTGTTTTTCTTTCGTTTTTATTTCAGAAACAATCTTTATCTGATCCATATGATTATTATCATTCCATTATTAAACAATTGGATTTATGCTATAGTTCATTGAAACATTTAATCACGAATTTATCACTAAATAATTGTGCTGATAATCATAGTGATAATATTAAAAATTCTCCTTCTTGTGAAAATAATAATCCTACCAGTAATGATCATATTGATGATAACAGTCTGCATACAACATCGAATTATTTAAATATTCATTCATTATATTGTTATTGTACAGTAATTATTGAACAATGTTTAATTCTATTAAATAAAACAAGTCAACATGAACAAGTTATGTTAGATGGTTCTGTTCATAGTATTGGATCGATTATCATTAAAATAATTAAATTTCTTAATAAGTAAGTAGGCATTGTTTTGTTCAATTTTTTTTTAAAAAAAAATAGATTTATGCTTATTTTTAAAAAATTGAATTTTGTACATTTAAATGTTGTAGATGAACTAGGCGTTTTACTCTCTATTGAATTTAGATAATATTTATTTAACTCCCCTTCTTTATATTTATAAATTTGACTCAAATATCAATGCATAAATATTATTACCACTTGATTGATGGAAATTCTTTAAACATGTAATACTTGCGGTATATGAGCTTAATTTTTATCATAAATTCGCTGAAGCGAAGAAAAATTGTCAATAAATATTATGCTTGTGAAGTTTCGTTCTCTTAAGCTACAAATCTCTACTATCCTGAAATATTATACACGCTGACTAATTGAATCATTCAATTTTCTACCATACAATGTTATAGATTGTATTACGGGGTCGTGAAGATTGTCAAGTTACTCATTGAAATCATGAATTGATTAATGTTAGACCACCATTATAAACCTGGAAGCACTGGACGGCCGTTTCGTCCTGGTATGGGACTCATCATCAGTGAGCATCCACGACTCTTCCACCCCGCAGGATTCATACCTGGGACCTTCGGTCTTGCGCGCGAACGCCTAACCTCTGAACTACTGGGCGGCACCCAACAGTGTTAATGTCTAACTTCGACCAATTCACGGTGGTCCAGACGTTAAGTGTTCGCGTGCCAGACCGAAGGTCCTGGGTTTGAATCCCGCAAGGTGAAGGAGTCGTGGATGCGCACTGCTGATGAGTCCCATGCTAGAATGAAACGGCCTTCCAGTGCTTCCAGCTTTCTAATGGTGGTCTAACATTAATCGATTCATGATTTTAATGAATGTTATCGATCTAAACTCCACTTCATTCTAAGCAGATGAATTGTATTACACTAACTGTTGCACTGTAAAATATTCTAACTAGAATTCCAGCGTTAATTTTCATCTTGTCCTTACACAGATCTTTCTACTTATTCAACTTATTGTGATCATCTTGATTGGTGGACACAACCTCACTGTATGCAGAAGATAAATTCTTAAACCAACAACAGTCAGTGTAAATACAATTTCGTGTTGATGACCCTAGTGTGTCAACATAGTTATACAATCATAGATCTGTTTATTTCTCTTGTCCACTTTTAACAGTTAGACTGACCGAGATCTTAGGTAAAATCTGGGAACTGGACGTAATCCCATCTGACTGGTCTCAGTCGCTAATTGTCCCAATATACAAGAAAGGACAAAAGTCCTCTTGTGACTTTCACAGGGAAATAAGTCAAACTAATATAGTTTCTAAACTGTTAGCCTCGATTATACTAAGACGTCTAACTAGAGCTCGTGAAGAGCAGACTCGAACAAAATCAGTCTGGTTTCAGACCTGGACGTGGCTGTATAGACCATATCTTCACACTACGACAGGTCCTGGAACACAGACACACATTTAGACGTCCGACAATAGTTGTGTGTCTCATCAATGCTGATGGCCTGGTGACTGACGAAATCTCAACGTGGATACAGAAAACTCGATTTGCTTTTGCCAATTTACGCCATCTATCGCGCAGGCGAGATGTCTGTTCGCTAACCAAAGGACGGGTGTACTGCGCAGCAGTTCGCTCCGTTCTTCTATATGGATGCGAAACATGGCCGTTAAGAGTAGAAGATGTTCGTAGGTTACTAGTATTCGATCATAGGTGTCTTAGAAGCATTGCTCGTATATCGCGGGACAACCGAGTAAGCAATGCTGTCGTTAGGAAACGAGTTTAGGTAAGGATGGCAGGTCAATTGATGAAGTATTGAAACTTCATCAGTTGAGGTGGTTGGGACATGTGTTACAAATGCCTAACCACCGACTGTCTCGACGAGTTATGTTTTGTAGTGTAGGAGTAGGTTGGAAGAAAGCTAGTGGTGGCCAGACCAAAACACGGCAGAAATCAATGAAGTCACTGACAAGTGGACTGAGTCATGTTGATAGATGCAGGTTACCTGGTTGGAGTCAGCGAGACGAAAGTTACCGATGATTAGAGACCTTGAATGACATGGCTCAAAATCGTTTGCAATGGCGCAAGTGCATCCATCCGTTGTGCTCTCTGAATCTAATCTTCTGGATTCGTCAGCACCTCTACCTTTGTCTTTCTAACCTTATGTCACTGAATTATATTCCTTGAATAATATCTTCAAACCCTAGTCTTCTTCATTACCATTAATACCTCTACCATCTTTATCACTATGGGATTTGAATTGACATTCGAATATTTTTCCACTCTAGAAGTGTAATTATTTAATTTTGATTAAATTCTTTCTATATATATATAGATGTTGGATATTAATGGGTGATGATTATGTCAATGAAACTAATGATACTTATTCTAACCAAGTATCAATTACAAAATGGAATTCCTCAACTGATCATCTATCATTGTATGCTAATTTATCATTGAATTTATTCACATCTAATAATGATGACATAATCATTAGTTGTGATCATAAAGATAATGTTGATCACATAATGGGGGAGAGTAACAACAATGACCGCCGCCGTAACATCGAAGACGATAATCAATTGAATTCATTCAACAACAACAATAACAACAATCATGACAATGAATTGATCAATGGATTATTAAATGAGAATCAAACAAAATGTGGGATAACTATTGCTGAAGCTTGTCGAACTGTCACAGTTCTTATTGATTTATTAATATGTATTATACGTACATGGGTTAATCTACTATCACATTGGACAATAAATTTTTATTTACAATTAATTTCTTTAATCTATGAACATTTATATTGGTAAGTGTTAATAGTCGTTTGGTTAGTTATTCAGTTTATTGATGTGACATTGTTCAAATTATTGTTTGAAATACAAAAGTCTGGTAAAATTAGGACGCTCAAACACTAATACTACACAAATTTAATAATAATAATAATCATATTGTAAAGAGATCAACGTGTAAAGAATTGTACAATCAACAAACGAATGAGCATGAATAATAGTATTGAATAAAATATCAAGCTCACTCAATCTATCAATTAAACGGGTGTTATCATACTTTTAGAAAGAATTTAGTCGAAAACTATGACAGGTGTTTGCCATTTAGTTACATTCTGAAAAAGTTTTACGATATAGGGAGGATCTACCTTGATTTCAAACCAATGGTTTGCAAGGGCTCCAAGATCCCGAGTGAATAAACGGTGTATGAACCTAATGTTGGTTACATGCTACCTTTGAACTGCATCTCCTGACTTCCCTTCATTGTCTTGTGGATTAGACATTTAAGTAAAAGGCTCGTCGGGTGGCTCCTAATTTCGTGATCCGGTCAGTATCCCTAACCACTCATAAACTCAATGATTTGTGTGGCGTGTGAATACTTCGTATCAATAATTATGTGTTGAAATAATTACATAACTTAAGCCATATGTGATAATAATATCAACCCATTCTAGGATCTCAACTGAGGAGTTGTGATGCATCAATATTTGCTAGTTATATACAGTTATTTTATATACCATTGGGCCATGTTATAAAATGATCATCGTTAGATAATATACCGTGTTTCAAGATTAATATTATTGTTATTTATAACTTATCATTGTAAGTGTAGGTATTATTCATGGTTTGACAATATATCACTGACTATATTAAATCCTATTTTCTTTAAATTAAAGAATTCAATGTAGACAATATCCGTTATGTTTAATTAATTCATTATGTCTAAATTACGAACTGATCACCATCAAGAATCTGAAAGTACTGGACGGCCATTTCGTATTAGTATTGGACTCCTCGGCACTCACGACTTTGTGACTGGGGCCCGAAGCCGAGACTTCACTCTCTCACCCCAACGCTTGACCTTTGAATCACTTAGCCGGGATTCAACAGTGTTAGTGTATATCGTAAATCAATCTACACTAGTATGCAACCTTCGTCCACTGCCTTCAGTGGATAACTCTCTCACACTTGGAGCGCTTGAACCTCACAGTTTACAGCTTATTGCTAGAGTGGTCTAAAGGCATAGAGGTTAAGCGTTCGCCTGCGATTCTCAGTTGCAGGGTCGTAAGTGTACACTGCCGAGAAGTTTCACTCTAGGACAAAATGGTCATCCAATGCTTCTAGGTTTTCATTCGTAGTCTACCCAAGCTCAGTTTTTTTTTTTATTTGAACCATGCAAATTCTACAATCTTCATAAATTCCTTATACTAATTACCTTTATTATAATTTATTTTTAGTATTGAACAAAGTATTCCTTGTTCAGCTTTACCAATTGAATTACGTATTTATCGATTTGATACAGAATTATCCATGGATGATATTCCATTTGAATTAAAAATGAATGCATATAGTGGGATGGTTAGTGCACCGCCTAGTATTGCTTGTTTACATTTATTTCATGAACTATCGTTGGTATTATTTGCTTATCATCAAAATTCTACTGTGACTACTAACCCATGTCGTGATTATCCAGACATATTGAAATTATTAATACAAATTGTAATACATAGTAGTAGAAAATTACAATTATTAAGTGCTAAATTTTATTCACCTGATTTACGTACTTATCTAGAAACAGGTAATTGTAATGATTATCCATTATTAGAGCGACTATTTTCAATAAATCAACCATCTACAGAATGTCCGGCTGCTTTAACAAATGACGAATACATTAATCCAATATCACCTGATGATAATACCATAGCATGTATAGATGATTTACAAAAAGGTATTACTTATAAATCATGGCCAATGGATTGTGTTAGTTTAGTTCAAGTATTAAGTTGTGCTGTAAAATGCTTGTTAAGCGGTTTATTAACACGTGAAATTACCACCACGGTTTATCAAACACAAATGGAGAAATATTTATTTTTGGAATTATTAGAATCAAGCGATTTTGCTAAATTGTTTGATTGTATCAAACTGAAATCTATTGATAATTATATAAATTTTACACCGGAATGGATTAATACATTGAAGAATTTATACACTTCATCTGATATATTTGATCATTCCTATTCACAACAACAACCAATGTTACAACAGAATAATATGAATAAAACAAATTGGTGGAATTCAGCTTCGACTGATGATAATGATGATCAGCAAAGAGTAAGTTGTTGATTGTATTTTGTTTTACGAATTATCACCTTTTATTTATTCAGGTTGTATCTGTCTATCATTGTTGTGTCAGTGGAATGGTTATCAACTGGCTTGTGTTTCTATTGAAGAAAAGAACATAAGACTAGTGATATAGATTTATTTGAACCTGGAATGTTAATCGAAGCAATATGAATAAATATACCAATTTATATATTGATTTTTCTCACACTTGACGGTTCTCTAACTATCATCACACATTGTGTAAGTATACAGAATTCTTACAAAAATCGAAGCTACATCTGATACCGGATGAATTGAACACTGAATTCATGTAAAGAATATTATTTTTCAGTATCAATCAATCAATCAACAACTTGGAACTTCGTACGTATGTACATCAGTTCAAGTTGCCATATCACATTAGCACAGAGATGCAATTGTCAATTCATATCCCATAGTAGTAGAGG